GAAAGTGATCCTTTTCCAGTGGTGCTAACAAATTAGAGCATGTGTCTTTCTCAGATTCAGAGAGCTAATTTCTCTTCTTTTGAACATGTTCCTTTCGTAGGCCATCCAAATCATGATTGGGTTGATCCACGTTGGCTTTGGGGCTGTGTTACTTTCTCTTTTTAATGACTACCCTGCCTTGTCTGCAGCTGGAGGTTATCCCTTTTGGGGAGGGATATTTGTAAGTATGTGCAAATTCCTCTTCAGTCATGCACTATTTCTGTGCAGTATATTTAATGTGAATATGTTAATTTTCTTAGTTAACATGCTGACATTAAATATACTATAACACAGTTGCTTTGTTTGGTTGGAGTCACACACAAAGGCACATACAATACAGGCAAACCAGAAGAGTGACTTGGATAATCTTATATTGGATGTGTTTATAGATATGAGGTGAGATATGGGATGAAGAGATTTTTTATTGTATTTCAAGAGAAGGTGATTTGTTAAAATTGTTTATGCTTGTTGTGATGAAGGGGGAAGTTACTTCTTTATTTATTTTCTTTTTCTTTGCTATACTTTTTTCTTTTTCTGCACTTTCTATTTTTTCTTTTTCTTATTATTTGTAGTTTATATTAGTTTTCATCTGTTTAACTATAAGGTCTAATAAAATTATTATTAAAAAAAAGAGTTGGCCCAGGGGACTGAAAAAAAATAGGCATCCGAGTAGGCTCCCAAATGCCACCTAAAGAAATTAGGAAAACATTCTAATGAATCTGAAGAACAAAGTAGAAAAGAAGAAGCCTCCTTTGTAGGGAAGGGAAGGAAAAAAAGAATAATGGGGAGCCGGGTTTTAGAAAAGTAGCGCTTAGGTTTCTTTTTAAAAAATAATCTGCAGAACCACTGAAGTCTCAGGAGCCCCACTCGAGTTCTCAGTTGGCATATCTGAGTGGAAACGGAAACAGCTTCCTCTTGTTTGAATCCTAGCAACCAGCTCCAGGAAGCTCCAACGCTTTGCTTCATTCTAGCATTCCTTAACTATTGATTGTGCTCACCTCCATTGGACTGATTTGGGTTTTTTTCTCCTTCCTCTTTTTCCCCTTAAACCTTTTAAAAATTCCTCAAGCATTTGGGTTCCCTGCGAAACCTGCTGAGTGTGGCTGGCGCATTTAGAGAAAGACTGGCATTTTGCTACTGGTCTGCTACAAGTATCTGATATCCAAGCTGTTTCTAGTATAAGTCTTAACCTCTGTTAAGGATAAAAGCAAATGCAAGTTTGCTTTTGTAGGGGACAGTAGGGGGATATTTATTAATGTTCTAGGCTACCCAATGCAAAACAATTCTGGTGGCTTCCCAAAATTAAAGCAATACCCAGATATAAAACAACAACAATTATATGCTGTTACATAAGACTATTCTCATAGGTCCCAGATTTTCTGAGATTTTTGCCCCCTTTACATTTCCAGTGGACTGCAATCATTTTTTTTTTTCCTTTTCTTTTTCCATAGTTCATTTCTACTGGATCAGTATGTATAACAGCTGAGAAGTATCGAAGCCGTCATTTGGTGAGAAAGCTATATGGCATCTAAATTTCTTTTATACTGTTTCTTCTTAAGCACTCAGGGCCTTTTATACTGTCTTTTGTATTCAGATACTGCTCAGTGTTAAATCAACATTTGGGAAAGGAAAACAAACCCAAGAGCCCCACCAACTCTACTTTCTGCTTTGATCAACTTTTGAACATTCTGGTTTAAAGTGTGTTAACAGGAACATAGAAATGTTTTTGTTTTGTAAGGGGACAAGTATGGATTCAACAAAAGAAAAATATTAACCACGTTGATGGAAGAAATACTATATTCCTGAAAGCAGAAAACTGAAAACATTATACCAATTTTTAAATTTTCAATATTCTTACTGCTGGCTGCAAGGGTTTCTCCATTCCCATCTCTCTTGTTGCCTCTCTGTGATGTTGTATAGCTAAAAGAGCGTTTAACATTACAATTTAATGCTTAGAATATGTAGTATATTCAGCATAAACGGTGTGGGATTTCTTTAACCATCGTGTTAAGGGTGAAGACATCCTACCAGTTTTCCTATCGCTTTTAGTCACCTGGCCTTCAATGGAGACGGATGTCCAGAAACAAAAAGAAGGAATTTGACAGTGTTATAAAACCCTTCAAATGAGTTGTGGGATTTGCATTTCCAGTGTGGGAAGCCCCCAGTGCAGCTGTTTGATACGTAGGTTCTTACTGAATGTTGTCTGGTTTCACCATTGGTTGATTATGTGCCATTAAGCACACGCATAGATTTTCTCTATCACTGGTTTCACCATGGTTGGGTGTAATTGTATTTATGGTTTGCATTTAATAAGATCTATGCTGTCATAGTAATTTTTCTCCCCCTGGTTTATTGTTCTCTTTCAGGTGAAATGCACAGTAGGAATGAACATCACAAGTGCTATAATGGCGTTAACTGGTGTCCTGCTGTATTTTTCAGAGCTGATCATAAATGCTTATTCAAATAGGAAGTACGAAATAAAAGTAAGTCAACCAATCTGCTCTAGAATTTTGGCTTCATGTGCAGGATCCAGAAGAAGACAGATCCTAGATCCTTTCAGTTTTGTGTGAAATCTTCCTTGAATAGGTCTCAGTCCCAAAAACACGAGCGTTACTTCATTTGAATGCTGTTTTATATGTTCGTTACATTAAGGCCAAGCAGCCATCTGATGGTTGTAAAAATTTGGTTGTTTTACAGTAGGGCCTGGGTGGTATAAAAGAAAGGGAGGGCTTGAGAATTCTATATAGACCTCAGCTGCAAACATCAAAATCCGTACCAGGTTCTCCCCCCATGCTCATCCCTTCTTTGCATTTGCCAGATAGTTTCAGAAAACTGAAATTTAGGTAGGTTCTGGAGTGTGGACAGAACCATCTTGCAATTTAGAGCAAATACCTGGGATCAATGGCGCTATATTTGAGCATTTCTTAAAGTGCTGAACTTTAGTTTGGTTTAATTTCTTTAGGATGCCATTCGAGGCGATTGAAACTCTTCTGCAGAACCGTAGGGTAAAACAAACGTTTCACTCAGAGGCAACCAGGGCCTCCATAGCCATTTTTCTGAGGAACACCAGAAAGGGCAAAAGTGACGGTCTTGTTCTTTTCCTCAGCCATGGGGCGTTCTCCTGCAAAAAGATGCCACCGCTGCCATTTTGCAGGTTCCTGCCCTG